CCATCTCCTGGATCCTTGCCTACTGAACTCTACATGATAACAATACCTCTGCCCACATTTAAACCGTTCTGGGTGTCCTAAGACAACTCTACACTCGAATTAAAGTTTATGTGCTAGGGTTAAGACTCGGCTGATGTCTTTATGTATGCCAAGACAATCTCCAATTCTTAATCCCCCCACTTTCGTTTCCTCAGTGCTGAGAATAAGGCATGCACAACCACACACTGTTTGTTGGTACTGCCCTTTGAACACAGAGCTTCCTGCATGCTAGGCAAACGCTCTGTCACCTGAGCTACATCCTCATTCTCCCTCCCCATTTTTTTCAAGATAGGGTAGCCTTGGCTGGTCTAGACCCTACTATGTAGATCAGACTGGCCTTGAATTTCCACCTCTACTTCCCAAGTACTAGATAACTTCACATTCAGACCTATTTGAATTGTTGTAGCTATTATTGGAGACAGGGTCTCACTATGTAGACTTGGCTAACCTGGAAATCACTATGCAGACCAGGCTGGCTTTAAACTCATAGAGATATACCTGTGTCTACCTCCCAAGTGCTAGGATTAAAGGTGTGTGCCACCACCACCCAGTTTGAATTTCTTTCTCTAAAAGAGATTTTATTTGGGGACTGGTGAGAAAGCTCAGCAGTTAGGAGCACTTGCTGCTCTTCCAGAGAACCAAGGTTCGGTGCCCAGCACCAACATTTCACTTGGTAACAATCTGTAACTCCAGTTTCAGGAGTTGGAGCCAACACCTTCTAGCTCTAGCACTACACTGCTCATGTGGTGTGTGTGCACACATGCAGACAAAACACTAACACACATAAAAGGTTTTTAATTTCTAAAAAAGTTCTAAAAGATTTATTTATGTGTTTGTGCTTCTCCCCCCACGTGTGTGTGTGGGGGCATGCCCACAGAGGTCAGAAGAGAAGGTCAGATCTCCTAGAACTGGACTTACAGGCATCTGTAAGCCCCTGGTATAGATGCTAGGAACCAAACTTCAATCCTCTGCAGGAGCAGGAAGTGCTCTTAGCTACTGAAACACCTCATCCTCTTGGACTTTTTTTTTCCTTTTTTTTTTTTTTGTTGTTTGTTTTGATTTTCAAGACCAGATTTCTCTGTGTAGCCCTGACCTGGAACTCACTTTGTAGACCAGTAATTTATCTACTTTTGGGGTGGTGAACAGAGTCTCACTACATTGCCCTGGCTGGCCTGGCAATTGATGTGTAGTTCTGGCTGTCTTCAAACTTTCAGATTTTGGGATAGCAGGAATATACCACCACACCCAGCTACTTACTATCTTTTGACCTGAACTTCTTTCTTTAGCCTAGTAGCAGTTTTGATAGTATTTCACCTACTTGTCCATCAAAAAAGATTCATGTTTTTCTAATTGCTGGTTGTCCCCTTATTTAGTAGCATCTTGTTCTCTGGGCTTCCATATGCCCATAGAACACCCAGAATATAATGTTCCAAAATGTTTGTTTCCTCCATGAACAGAGAAGAAAGCTGAAAACTGGCTCTATTTGCAAACCATCAGTTAACTGGGCTTTTCTGGTTCCGTCCATTCTACATCAGCCAGAGATTCTCTGGACACCATTCCTTTAACAACAGCCCAGCCAGTTGGTTCTCTCCACCTTCAAATCTGTCCTGTATCGTCAGTGTTTTTTCTTCATATACTGAGTCATTGCCATCAGCAAATACCAATCTTTTGTGTGAGTGTGGCATTGAGAGTTGTTCAGAGTTTCACCCTGCAGCTTAGACTGGCCTCAAACTCATGGTGACTCTTCTGTCTCAGTCTTCTCGGTACTGATACTGCAATTACAAGTATAAGCTGCCCGGATCATCTTCATATTTTTTTCTTTTCTTTTTTTTTTTTGATTTTTCGAGACAGGGTTTCTCCGTAGCTTTTGGTTCCTGTCCTGGAACTAGCTCTTGTAGACCAGGCTGGCCTCGAACTCACAGAGATCCGCCTGCCTCTGCCTCCCGAGTGCTGGGATTAAAGGCGTGCGCCACCACCGCCCGGCTTTTTCATATTTTATAAGATAGGGTCTTGCTGGACAGTGGTGGCATATGCTTTTAATCTTAGCACTCAGGAGGCAGAGGCAGGTGGATCTCTGTGAGTTCAAGGCCAACCTGGTTTACTGGGCAAGTTCCAGGACAGCCTGGGCTTTTATAGAGAAACCCTACCTCGAAAAAACAAATAACAACAACAATATAGGGGCTGGAGAGGTGGCTCTTTCAGAAGACCTGGGTTCAATTCCTACCACACACACAGTAGATCACAACTGTCTATAACTTCAGTTCCAGGGCATCCACTCACACAGACATACATGCAGGCAAAACAACAATACACATAAAATAAAAACAATGACAACATAAAGAGATGGATGGATGGATGGAAGAATGAATGATAGGGTTTCGAGTATCCCAGGCTGGCCTTGAACTTGCTTTGTAGCTGAATATGACCCTGAATTTCTGATTCTCCTGCCTCCATTTGCTGAGTGCTGGGATCAGAGCTGTGTTCCAGCACACCCTGTGTTATGTGGTGCTGGGATCTAATCAAGGCTTTTGTGCTTTATAGACAAATACTCTACCAATTGAGCCATATCCCCAGGTTTATGGGTTTTCAGGGAGGGGGCTGTTTTCCCCACCTTTTTTTTTTTGCAGAGTTTCATTCACTGTGTAGCCCAGGATTCCCTTGAACTCACAGATATCCTCCTGGCTCAGATTCTTTTTTTTTTTTTTTTTTTTTTTTGGTTTTTCGAGATAGGGTTTCTCTGTGGCTTTGGAGCCTGTCCTGGAACTAGCTCTATAGACCAGGCGTGGCTCAAATTCTTAAGTGCTCGAATTATTTTATCAGTGTGGGCCAGCCAACATACCCAGTTCCACTCCAGCTCCAATTGCATTGTCTCTTAAGTTCATTTCATTTAGGCTTTCAAAGCACCGTACTGATGTACTGTAACCTCCTGTCAGATTACTATCACACACTCGGTGGCACACACACAGACATAGGACTCGGGACCTCTATCTAGATGTGTGTTGTCTCACAGTAGGAGTTTAAGTCCATTTCATTAGCTGACATATCCCCAGCACCTTACAGTGTATATATGTAGTAGATGTTAAATAAATTCTCATCTGACAGGGTGCTATGTAGCCCTGGCTGGCCTGCAACTTGCAAGGTAGTGCTGGCTTGCCTAGGATTTGGATATGTAGACCACGCTGACTGCCAACTCACAGAGATCATCCTGTCTCTGCCTCCTAAATCCTGGGATTAACCATCTAACATAACAGGTCCCCCCCCAGTCGTATCCGCCACCCTTTTTTTTAAGACAAGGATCCATCCAAAGCTGGCCTCGAACATCCTTGACCATCTTCCTTAGTGACAGGACCGCCAACACATCCAGCAACCTGCCTTGTTTATTATTGTTATTTGGTTTCCTCCAGAAAGACTTAGACTCAGGGACTAGATAGGAGCTGATAGTTAAGGAAGTAAATACAGTCCATTGCTCAACAGGAGTACCATCTACAACACCACTCCTTAACAGAGGGCTAGCATACCACAAAAACACAGATTTCCAAAAGCAACCCATGATATCTAGTTTTATGTCAACTTGACACAAGCCGGAGTTATTTTAGAGGAGAAAAACTCAATTGCAACGTTGCCTCCATAAGACTGGGCTGTAGGCAGGCCTGTAGGGCATTTTCTTAGTGATTGACATGGTAGGATCCAGCCCATTGTGAGTGGTGCCACAAGGCTGCTTGTTCCTAGATGCTACAAGAAAGGATACTGAGCCGGGAGATGGTGGATAAACCTTTAATCCCAGCACTTGGGAGACGGAGGCAGGTGCATCTCTGAGTTCAAGGCCAGATTGGTCTACAGAACAAGTTCCAGGAGAGTCAGGGCTACACAGAGAAACTCTGTCTTGAAAAAGCCAAAAAAGAAAAAAGAAAGCAGGTTGAGCGAGCCATGAGGAGGGAGCCAGTAGGTAGCACTCCTCCACGCTCTCTGTATCAGCTCCTGCCTCCAGGATCCTGACTAGTTCCTTTGTAGGCTTCCTCAGTGGATTGTGATTCAAGATATGGAAGTCAAATAAACCCTCTTCCCCAAGTAGTAGGTTTTGGTTATAGAGCTTCATCATAGCTACAGTAACCCTAAGACTGCCACATCCAGCTGCAACACAGCTAAAGGAAATAAGAAAGGACGCTGCAGGATTGAGGTTAGAAAGCACTTAAAAGCCAGGTGGTGGTGGCGCACGCCTTTAATCCCAGCACTCAGCAAGGCAGAGGCAGGCAGATCTCTGTGAGTTCAAGGTCAGCTTGGTCTACAAAGAGAGTTCCAGGACAGTTAGGGTTGTTTGACAGAGAAATCCTGAGAAAATAGAAAGGGAGGAAGGAAGGAAGACTCTAAAAAAAAAATAAGAAAAACGAAAAAAATCTTGGACTGGACAGTTGGTTCTGTGGTTAAGGGCACTTGTTGTTGTGAAAGACCCAGGTTTGATTCCCAGAAATAATGTGGAGGCTCACCGCCTCCTCCGGCACCAAGCACACATATGGTGCACAGATGTAGACACATAGAATAACAAAAACAAATATTCAAAAAAACCTTTCCTGTGAAATGTGACATTTCCTAGCGCCTTTTCCCCATGCCCATTCTTATCAATCACGAGAGTTTCTCCTCTTGCGGCGCTGGAAGGACGGTTCTGGCGGCTTGGCTTCCCGAAGAATGGTGGTCAATCAGAAAACAGGACTAAAAACCTCTCTTACAAAACTCCACCAGAAGGAGAAATGGGAGTCTGAGCCGACCGTTATAATCACGCAGACAATATATACATCACACTCTTGCCTTTCCTCAGCCTCCCTGAGTCTCGGCCGAAAGCTCGACCCGCCTACCCGTCCCAGGATATCCAGTGAGCCTCAGCTCCGTTGGGGCTGATCTTCTACTCGGTGGTTTGTGGGCCTCACGGCCCAACCGCAGCGCGCTTCTGTCGGTACCAGAGTGCCTTGCGGCAAAATGGCTGCCCCCAGACGGCGCTGCGCTGGCCTAGTTCGGTCTTTATTCGGGGCCTGGCAGCTGGGCCCGCAGGCTGGGAGGGAGTGGATGGTTTCGCCCGGCTCGCTTCTAGGTAACCAGGCGAGGTGCGTGTCCTGTGTCGGGGGTGCCATTTCCTCTGGTCCCCTCCTGGCCGCCGCTTCTGGTCGCTATGGTCAGGATTCCGCCTTGGACCGAATCCTTGGATTCCCTCAGCCTGACAGTTCGTTGGCTCCGAGCGTCCCCGCGGTGTCGGTACATCGAGGTAAAGGGCTCAGTTAATGTTGGTTGCGGGTGTTCGTTTTGTAACAGGTCTCCCTGTGGAACTGGTGTGGAACTCGGATCTTCCTGCTCCAGCCTCTGGAGTGTTGTCATTACAGGTGTAATGATGGTTTCATCCCTGGAAGTCGTGTAGGTTAGTTATCCTCTGCCTCTGGGGATGGCATTTTAGCCTCTCTCATTTGATAGAAAAATAAATCTGACTCCTGAGAGAGACAAGTGGTGACGGTTGTTAGAGAGTCTGAGAATGAGGGTCTGTAAAATACCTTAGCCTGCTCTTTTTTTTTTTTTTTTTTTTTTTTTTTTTTTTTTTTTTTTTGGTTTTTCGAGACAGGGTTTCTCTGTAGCTTTGGTGCCCGTCCCGGAACTAGCTCTTGTAGACCAGGCTGGCCTCGAACTCCCAGAGATCCGCCTGCCTCTGCCTCCCGAGTGCTGGGATTAAAGGCGTGCGCCACCACCGCCCGGCTCCTTACCCTGCTCTTAAAGACTCTTGTTGCCTGACGAGCTGAGCATCCTTTGGACCCGTATGGCGGAAAGAGAACTAACTCCAGAAAGTTGTACTGTGACTTCCGTAAGCTCATGCAAATACACAAATGTTAAATCTAACAGCAGCAAGAGTTTAAGAATGGGAGGAAACCTGTGTTGGTCGCAGTCAGTGATGCTCGCCCAAGATCATTAGCCTCGTGGCAAGCAGAGTGTAGACCCAATAAATGAATGGTGAGCCCCATCTACTTGTTAAGACACTAACTTGAGCCTTGTAGTCATGGTGCATGCCGGTAGTCCCCACTCTGGGTAGGTAGAGGCAGGAGGATCTCCAGTTCCAGAAGTTTCTTCAGCTCTGACTGTAGCACCCTACTAATGCTGCTGTGAAGGTTCTGCGAAATTTCTTGGTCTCTCCTTCTGATACTGTTGTGGTCAACAGTGACTAGTCTCCTACCAGGCTCCAGTCCATGCTCCTTGAGGAAGAAAGTGCTGCTTTTCTTGGGAGGGGACATTGAGACAGAGTTTCACTCTATCTAGCCCATGATCACCTGAAGCTCACTATCCCCAGTCTCCTTCATGCTGGATTGCAAATTCGAGCCACCACATACATTTTATTGATTTATTTACTTTACTTACTATTTATGTTCTTTGTTTTTGTTTTTTAAGATGGTTTCTCTATGTAACAGCTCTGACTGTCCTGGAACTTGCTTTGTGCTACCACCACTCAGCTTTATTTAGGTTTTTCGAGACAGGGTTTTTCTGTGTAGCCCTGATTGTCCTGGAACTCCCTCTCCACAATGACCTTGAGCCCACAGAGATCTGCCTCCCAAGTGCTGAGGTGAAAAGTGTGTGCTGTCGCCACTGCCCCTCCATATGTAAAGGGCTGTTTCTCCATTGTAATTTAGTGAGATTGTTTTTTGTTTGTTGGTTTGTCTGAGACAGGGTCTAATTATGTAGCCCAGGCTGGTCTGTGGCTCAAATGTAATTCATTCTTTTTTCGAGATAGAGTTTCTCTGTGTAACAGCCCTGGCTGTCCTAGAACTAACAGTGTAGATCAGGCTGGCTTCGAACTCACAGAGATACTCCTGCCTCTTCCTCCTGAGTGCTGGGATTAAAGACATGCGGCACCATCACCCAGCCCAGTAATCTACTTTTGCTTAAGCCTCTCAAAGGTTGTGATTACAAGTATATGTGTTATTCACAATGCCCAACCTATGCTGAGCAATTTTTTTTACACAGTTGTCATTGTGAAAAAGTTATTCATAGATATTGTTAGTGCGATTCCACATTACATATGAGAAAACCAAGGGGCTTAGTTAGAGAGGTTAGATAACCTGAGAAATCCAATAAAATTAAATGCATACTAGTCTCAGAGTTAGGATGGGTAGCTTCAGCCTGGTGTGCTAATCTTTCATTTTGATTTCCTCCTTGGGTATCAGAGCTGAGTATCTAATAAAGTCTAGATTCCAATATATCACTCATGTTCCCATCCTAACAGATGAGCAGAATCTGCTCTTGGTCCATACTCCTGACATGCCTGAGAATCCACGGGTCCTCCGAGTGGTCCTCCTGGGAACTCCAAATGCAGGAAAGTCAACACTCTCCAATCAGCTGCTGGGCCGTAAAGTATGCCACACTTTTATCATCCCAACCCCTATACCTCCCTTTTTACACATTTCACTATCTTATGTATCTGGGTGTTTTGCCTTCATAAATGTCTGTATGGTACTTGTGTGCCTGGTGCCTACAGAGGCCAGAAAATCCCAGGATGTTGGATCCTCTGAAACTGCAGTTACAAACAGTTGTGAGCCAGCATGTGGGTGCTGGGAATTGAACCCAGGTCCTCTGGAAGAGCAGTCAGTTCTGTTAATCACTGGACCATTTACCCAGTTTCCTTACACCACCTCTTTCTCGTTTTGTTTTTTTCATTCACTTGTTGTGCCTGGGGAGATGGCCTGGGCGGGATCAAGGATCTCACTGGAACCTCTTTCTTCCTGGAAGGTGTTTCCTGTCTCCAAGAAGGTGCACACCACTCGATGCCAAGCTCTAGGGGTCATCACAGAGAAGGAGGCCCAGGTGGTAGGTACCTGCAGAAGTTCTGCAAACAGGATAGAGTGAGGCTAGTCAGTTCTCTCACCATTAGTCTCTTTAAAAATGAAGATTCAGCCTGGTGCGGTGGTGGTAACACACACCTGTAATCCCAGGCAGAGTCAGGTGAATGTCTGAGTTCAAGGCCAGCCTGGTCTACAAAGTGAGTTCCAGGAAAACCAGGTCTATACAAAGAAATCCTGTATTGAAACACAAAAGCAGAACAAACAAACAAAAACCAACAGCAACAGAAAACAGAAGAAAAGAAAAAAAAAAGAATGCATAGAAGACACCACCCCCCATTTTTTTGTTTTTTGCTGTTCTTTTCAAGACAGGGTTTCTTTGTGTAGCCCAGACTGACCTGGAACTCCCTCTGTAGACCACTCCCAGCAAGGACCTCCTATCTTAAGACTCCACGCAGTTCCTTCCTCTCCCTTCCCTCTTTTGCCATTGTGTTCTGAAGTTTTTTTAAGTGTGTGCTCACGCGTCCTGGTGCTTGCGTTGGGGAGGGGATCAAGGACAACTTCTAGGAGTCTCTTCTTTTTTCTATTCCGTAAATCCTCACACCCAAGATTGGGTTGTCAAGCTTGGCAGCTTGCGCCTTTACTGAACCACTCCATCCTTTGTGTTTGTGACAGTCTCATGTGACCCAGGTTGGCCTCTCTATGTAACCAGAGATTACCTTGATTTTATGATCTTTCTGCCTACTCCATCTCTCAAGTGCTGGGATACAAGAGATACCACCATGTCCAGCTCGGAATCTTCATTTTTTCCCCCTTTCAGAAATAGGGTCTCACCATGTAGCCCTGACTGGCACTGGTCTAAATGCATAGGCCAATCTGCCCTTAAACTTGAAATGATCCTCTTGCCTCTGTCTCCTAAATGCTGTGATTATAGGAGTGAAGGAATGACACCCCACCTGATTAAACAAAGCATAATTCAGCATTGAACTCTGTGGTTTTGTGTTTTATTTTGTGCAGTATGGGGAATGTAACCCAGGGCCGCTTGGGAAGTACCCAAGCATTCTGCCAGTGAGCCCCGTCTCCAGCACTCCACTCACCCTTCATTTAGTCAACATCATTCTTTCTTTCTTTCTTTCTTTCTTTCTTTTCTTTTTTTTGAGACAGAGTTTCTCTGTGTAGGCTGTCCTGGAACTCACTCTGTAGACCAGGCTGGCCTCAAACTCAGAGATCTGCCTCCCGAGTGCTGGGATTAAAGGTCATCCTCTTTCTTTGGAGTCCTCATGTAATATTAAGACAATGCCAAATGGTAAAAAAAAATCTAAAGTCAATAACAGCTTACCCATGAAGGAAAGGCAGGATGCTCATATCAAAGATGGCTTCTCTCTAGCTATGTGTGGTAGTGCACAACTTTAATCCCAACGCTTAGGAGGCAGAGGCAGATGGATCTCTATGAGTTGAAGGCTAGCCTGTTCCACATAATGAATTTCAGGACAGCAAGGACTACACAGTGAAACCCTGGCAAAATGAAAATAAATAAATAAAAAGCCTCTTGTTGCTCCATAGATTTATGTTAGAATATTTACTTAAAGCCAGGCGCTGGTGGTGCACACCTTTAATCCCAGCACTCGGGGACAGAGGCAGGTATCTCAGTGAGTTCAAGGCCAGCCTGGTCTACCTGTGAGTTCCAGGACAGGCTCCAAGGCTACACAGAGAAACCCTGTCTCGGAAAACAAAACAAAAAGACCATACTTAATATGTATAAAGCCCTAGGTTGACTCCTAGAACCTAAAGTGGGGATATATATAGTCTTTGTCTCCACTAATCCATTTAAAAAAATCTTTTCCTTTGGTGGGGTGGGGTATCTCTCCTGATTCTAGATTCTGCTCGACACACCTGGCATCATCAGTCCTGTTAAACAGAAGAGGTATTACTTGTGGGAACAGATGTGGGGAAGGTGGGGTGATAAAGAGGAGGGCATATTCCTTCCTAGGAGCTGCAAGTTTTCCCTATTACACCCATTCCTCATAAGAGTACTACCTTCCTGGGCTGGAGAGATGGCTCAGAGGTTAAGAGCATTGCCTGCTCTTCCAAAGGTCCTGAGTTCAATTCCCAGCAACCACGTGGTGGCTCACAACCAGACAGAATATTGTATACATAATAAATAAATAAATACTTTAAAAAAAAAAAAAGCCGGGCGGTGGTGGCGCACGCCTTTAATCCCAGCACTCGGGAGGCAGAAGCAGGCGGATCTCTGTGAGTTCGAGGCCAGCCTGGTCTATAAGAGCTAGTTCCAGGACAGGCTCCAAAACCACAGAGAAACCCTGTCTCGAAAAACCAAAAAAAAAAAAAAAAAAAGAGTACTACCTTCCTGACCGATAGGTTTATCTTTTAGGCACCATCTGGAGATGTCTTTGTTGGAAGACCCATGGAAGAGCATGGAATCTGCTGATCTTGGTTAGACTCAAACTAAAAATCTGAAACCCTATTTACAGATCCTTTTATTCCTGAGAGTTTGGGAGCTTGGGGTCTGGCCAGAACCTATAGCCTGGAACTTGTTGTGGGTCAGGATGAAGGTCATGGTCTATTTTGTCTCCCTGCCATCTTCTAGTTGTAGTTCTTGTGGATGTGTCAGACAAGTGGACCAGGAGCCAGCTGAGCCCCCAGGTGCTGCAGTGTTTGACCCGCTTCTCTCAGGTTCCCAGCATCCTGGTCTTGAACAAGGTGAGTACTGCCCACCTGAAGAAGAGTCTCTCCACGGTCTCATCTTGCTCACCATGTACTCTGCTCACCCCCATCTACAGGTAGATTGCTTGAAGCAGAAGTCAGTTCTCCTGGAGCTGACAGCAGCCCTCACTGAAGGTGTGGTCAATGGCAAGAAGCTCAACATCAAGCAGGCCGCACACCTTGGCACCCCCTGCCCCAGTCCTGCAACTAGGGACCCCAGTACTCACTCAGTGAGAAACCCTCAGAGAATTGGCTGGCCCTACTTCCAGGAGATCTTCATGTTATCAGCACTAAACAACAAGGATGTGAACACACTAAAGGTTAGTTAGCCGTGCCCATAGCCCATCTCTGCCATGGAAAGATAGGCCTCACCCAGCCCTGCCTGACTGTAGACTAAGATCCTGTCTTTTAAAAGACAAAACAAAAGCCTGGCTGTGGTAATTTATACTTGTAATCCCAGCACTCCGGGGGACAAGGCTAGAGGATCTCAGGAGTTCAAAGTCATTTTCAACTACACAGTGAATTCAAGAGGCACTTCAGTTACAATGAGACCCTATCTCAGGAAACCAAAAACAGCCAGCTGTAGTGACACATGCCTGTTATCCCCACACTCAGGAGGCAGAAGCAGAAGGATTACTCAGTTTGAGGCCAGCCTGGTCTCCACTGGAGTTGTAGGCCAGCCAGGCTACATAAGGAGACCATAAATGATCAGGAATATATCTCGGTGTAATGGTTGCCTAGTGTATAAGAGGCGCTGATTCGATCTCTAGCACCACATAAAGTGGACATGGCGGTGCACACCCCTAATTGTAGCATTTAGGACACTTTTAACACTGGAAATTCAAGACCAGCCTGAACAAATTAGGATGTACTGGGCCTGCTTGGTCTCCATGAGATCATGTCTTTTTTTAAAAAGGCATTACAGTCAGTTGTGATAGCTCACTTGGATAGTTCAGGGGTTGTCAGGGTAAAGAAGAATCAAGAGTTTCCTAGCCAGGCTGGGTGGTGGTGGCGCACACCTTTAATCCCAACACTTGGATCCCAGCACTCGGGAGGCAGAGGCAGGTGGATCTCTGTGAGTTCGAGACCAGCCTGGTCTACAGAGCGAGTTCCAGGACAGGCTCCAAAGCCACAGAGAAACCCTGTCTCGAAAAACCAAAAAAAAAAAAAAAAAAAAAAAAAAAATTCTAACACTTGGGAGGCAGAGACAGGTGGATCTTTGAGTATGAGGCCAGCCTGGTCTACAAAGCGAGTTCCAGTACAGGCTTCAAAGTACAGAGAACCCTGTCTTGTGGGAAAAAAAAATTGCCAGCCAGCCTGCCTTTGCTACTACATAGCATTTTTTTTTTAATTAAATTTTTTAAGACAGTGTTTCTCTGTTCTCTGTAGCTTTGGAGCCCGTCCTGGAACTAGCTCTTGTAGACCAGGCTGGCCTTGAACTCACAGAGATCCACCTGCCTTTGCCTCCCAAGTGCTGGGATTAAAGGCATGCGCCACCACTGCCCAGCTCTACATAGCAATTTTAAGGTCAGTTTGGGGGACCTGTCAAAAACAAAATGTGCTTGTTTCTCCTAGAAGTATGCATAAATAGGGAAGTACTGAGGGGGTTAAGAGCTCATTCTTCCTTTGTACCCACAGCAGTACCTTCTAGCACAGGCCAAGCCAGGACCCTGGGAGTTCCACAGCGGAGTCCTCACTAGCCAGACCCCTGAAGAGATCTGTGCCAACAAAATCCGAGAGAAGCTCCTAGAGTACCTGCCTGAGGAGGTGCCCTACAGTGTGCAGCAGGTATGGATGGAATGAAAGGACCCAGGGCCTGTACACCAGGCACACACCTGGAACAGTTGGGTACCACAAGATAAAAATGAGCCTGCCTGACTAGTCATGATGTCTCCTTATACAGAAGACAGTGATATGGGAGGAAGGACCAAGTGGGGAGCTAGTGATCCAGCAGAATCTTCTGGTACCCAAAGAATCTCATATGGTAAGTGAGGACAGGCTCAGAGATGGGGCAGCAGCAGTATCAGCTGAGGGTTCTTTCCCCCACCTGTGAGGCCAGACAACATATCCAAGTGTCTCTTTTCACCACTTGCAGCGGATCCTGATTGGCCAGAAGGGCCTCTTGATCTCCCAGATTGCACAGGAAGTAGGCAGAGACCTCATGGACATCTTCCTCTGTGATGTTAACATCCGCCTCTCCGTGAAACTTCTCAAATGACCATCCTCTGTTGCTGTTCCCAGGGCCTCCCTGCTCAAGCTTTTGGGAAAGTAACTGACTAGAACTACCCTGTGAAAGGGGGGGGCTGCAGGGCTGCTAAGGGCCATGGACACTGAGTGGCTGCTAGCCAGCCTGGACTTGTTGAGTCTGCACAGTTTCTGCCCAACCATGTTTTCCGTTGGAGGAGAGAAGCTGCCTTAGCTCAGTTCTCAGGTAGTTCCTCTGCCTAGGGTCTCAGCTATGTAGGTCTTAGAAGTCCATCCCTGTGGTGTGAATAGGGTCATCCCATTCATCCTGTAGCATCGGACCCAAACCCAAACTCTTGCCCTGTTTCCAGTTGTTGGTAGGAAGAACCTTTCTCTTTGTCCCCAAGTTTCTCACTTTGAAGTTACATAAGGACCCATATATTTCATTTTTTTTAATTGTTTATTTATTTGCATTGGTGTGTCTGTGTAAGGCTGTTGGATCCCCTGGAACTGGAAATACAGACAGTTGTGAACTGCCTTGTGGTGGCTGGGAAGAGCAGCCAGTGCTCTCAACTACTGAACCATCTCTTTTCAGCTCCTCCTCCCCACCTTGAGACAGGGTTCTTACTATACAATTCTGGTTGACTATTGCCATGTAGACCAGGCTAACTTTGAACTCACAGAGGTCCACCTGTCTTGCCTCCTGAGTGCTGGGATTAAAGGCGTGCGCCACTACTGCTGGCTTCTTCTTTTAGTTCTTAAACGAGAGTCCCAACCACCTGTTCACCCAAGTTCTTGATCCCTCCCACCCTGTCCTGCTACCCAGACTTGGGTGCTAATAAAGTTAAGTGACAAGTGTTCATATTTTTATCTTTATTTCTTTGGAACAGGGAAGAGAAAAATAGGCCCATTCCCCTGCCCCCATTCTCTTATCAGCCTGGGGTCTCTTTTTCTTCCAGAAGTCTGCTCCGGGGCAATGAGCTCTTCTTGACACAGTTTCTGGGAGCAGCAAGAGAACCGTTACCATTACTAAACTCAGTAATGGTAACGGTTTCCTCGCCATCCCCAAGTGCCGCAGCAGTCAGTAGGCTTGATAGGCTGAGCAGTGAGCCCCGCAGGCTTCAGCATTCTTCTGCCCTCCCAGGCAGACGCTAGATCTGGGGTACCCAGACTAGTACATCATCTATACTGTAGTGTCTCATCACAAACTTACAGTATATGATGATATCCCAGCCAAGGCCCTGGAGGAGAGAGCTGTGGGTGTGGAGAGCCAAGGCATTGGGGCAGGATCAGTCAAGGCTGGACCCATACCTCCTTGCTCTTCCACTCCCCTCAGAGATTCTGTAGCCCCGGTAACCCAGGTGGCTAGAGGAAGAAGCTAAGGTCCATTCAGATCTATTAGGGGTGCAGAGTTAGAGCTAGGAGCAATGAGGCGGAGGGTTCCCTCTGGGCAGACCTGTAAGCAGGCTGGCAGCCGCTCTGGGGAGTGCTTACCTGGAGCTGGAGCTGCAGTCTGGGGAAGCCTTTGCACAGGGCCTGCCTGTCTTGTCTCTTTAGGCTCTAGTGGCTCTGCTTTTAACCCCCTGGCTCCTCCCCTGGGTGGGGTACTTTTCCCGGGTTCTACAAGTCCCTACTTCTTAACTCTTCCCCTGCTGGCTTCATGAAACAAGTCACTGGCTCCTTTCCCTTTTTGTTTAATTTATTGTTTTTTTTTTTTTTTTAAATGCTGGAGCTGAAATTTAGGGCCTAATGCATACCAGCTAAGAGCCCCATCACTGGCACTACACTTCCATCCTGCCTCCATTTTAATATTTTTTAAATTTTTATTTATTAGTTGTTTTTCAAGACAAAGTGTCTCTGTGTAATAGCTCTAGCTGTCCTGGAACTCACGCTGTAGACCAGGCTGGCCTCGAACTCACAAAGATCACTTGCCTCTGCCTCCTGAATGCTGGGATTACAGGTGTGTGTTCCCACCACCCGACTGCCCCCATTCTTTCAAATGAGTGACTTTCACCCCCACCCCGTGAAGTTGATTACCTACCCACTTCTAGGAAGTAGAAAAGCCCTCACCCCATCTTCAGGGCTTAGTTGTTTGTTGGAGCCCTGCTGAAAGGCCTTGTTTTCTTCTGGGTTATGGTTGGGAATACTCATTGAATCTGCAGGACAGGGAGGGTCCTGGCAGCTGGATCTATATGGAGTCTCTCTTGAAGCAAGCTCAGTGGAGCCCTCAGCCTAAATTTCCATTTCTAGAATTTGTTCTTTTGCTGAGCTCAGGATGCTGGAAATGGCCAGAGCCAAAGCCTGTTGGCCACACTGTTCTGGCAAGGTCCCCGGGTGAGTGTTACCCTGCTGGGAGACTGAAGAGCACCTGAGGCCCCAGGTCTTGTGGGGGTCCACTCTTTAGAGCCCAAGGCACTTCAAGTGAGAGCCTGGCACTATTTGGGTCTGTCTCCTTGGGGAAGGGGAGATTCCTGGTGAGACACTCTCCACAGCTGAGCCTCTGCTATTTAGACCCTCTTTCTGGGGGGATGTTCCACCCCCTTTTCTTATCCTAGACAGTCTGGTCTGTTGTCTCCTCTGCAGGTGCAAACTACATTAGAATGGGGTGGGGGTGGGGTGGGAGGAGAGACCTAACCTTTTGGTTTGTTAGAGGTGTTCTTTTTCCTGCCATGGCACGGCCAGGTGTTCCACCTCTGCCTTGCGTGAGCTTTCCTCATCCAGTTAGCACTGTTCCGGTACAGGGACACCTTCTCTGCCTAGTCATTTTTTTTTTTTAAATATTTATTTATTATGTATACAATATTCTGTCTGTGTGTATGCCCGAAGGCCAGAAGAGGGCACCAGACCCCATTACAGATGGTTGTGAGCCACCATGTGGTTGCTGGGAATTGAACTCAGGACCTTTGGAAGAGCAGGCAATGCTCTTAACCTCTGAGCCATCTCTCCAGCCCTGCCTAGTCATTTTTTGTTTCATTTATTTTAATTGTTTAGATACAGTCTTATGTAGGTATGGATGGCAACACTTTTCTTGTTGTTATTGTTCTTTTGTTTGTTTTGAGACAGGGTCTTTGTGTAGCCCTGGCTGGCCTGGAGCTCACTGCTATAACTGTGTAGACCAGGCTGGTCATGAGCTCACAGAGATCCACCTGCCTCTGCCTCCTAGGGTGCTGGGATTAAAGGAATACACCACTACACCCATCTCCTGTTTGTTTTTTTGTTTTTTTAAATATTTATTTATTATGTATACAACATTCTGCCGCCATGTATGCCTGCAGGCCAGAAGAGGGCACCAGACCTCATTACAGATGGTTGTGAGCCACCATCTGTATGGTTGCTAGGAATTGAACTCAGGACCTCTGGAAGAGCAGGCAATGCTCTTAACCACTGAGCCATCTCTCCAGCCCTCCTGTTTGTTTTTTTGAGGCAGGGTCTCATTATGTTGTTCTGACTGGCCTGGAATTCTGTATAGACCTGGCTGACCTGGAACTCAGAGATACGCCAGCTCCGTCTCCTGAGTGTTTGGGTTAAAGGCATGCCTTGCTCTCATTATTATTATTGAAATACAGTCTCATGTGGTCTTAAATCCCATTTAAGATGATGACGTTGAACTTCTGAGCTTTTCGTCTAATTACTGAGTGCCAGGGCTGCAGGCATTCATCTCTATGCCAGGTTTATTCAGTGCTGAGAAATGGACCCAGAACCTTACGTCTGCAAGGCAAGCACTGTAACAACTGAACTACACTTCCAATCCTCTACCCCACTTTTACTTTTTTATTTTGAGTTGCCCAAACTGACATTTAAGCTCACTGTATAGTTCAGGGAGGCCTTCAGTTTTCAGTCCTGCCTCAGCCTCCCAAGTAACTGGAATTACAGGCCTTCGCTTCAGGCTCACTTTGATTAACACAGCGCAGATGTTAGCCTCAGGAGTTCAAATAAGTTAGTACCTGAGGCTGCTCTGCTCCTTCCCACAGAAGATCACAGAGAAGACATCAGAAACCCTGCCTTCCTTCCCTCCTTCCTTTCTGTGTGTCTGAGCCTATTCTGGGATTCCCTGTGTAACTTGATCCTGCTCATCCTGCTTTCACCTGCTGAATTATAGCAGGCATTCCCCTCCATCCCTGGCTCCCATGGGATATTCTTTTTTTTTTTTGTTTTTGTTTTTTTTTGTTTTTCGAAACAGGGTTTCTCTGTGATTTTGGAGCCTGTCCTGGAACTAGCTCTTGTAGACCAGGCTGGTCTCGAACTCACAGAGATCCGCCTGCCTCTGCCTCCCGAGTGCTGGGATTAAAGGCGTGCGCCACCACCGCCCGGCCCATGGAATATTCTTGAAAACACTTTGGACCCACTGAGATTGCCCAGCTTTAGCAGTGACAGTTACAGCTCACTCCATCTGGCTCCATAACTTAGGACCTAAATCAGCCTCCATTTCCCCAAATGTAAGCCCACTCACTGGGCTACTGCAGTCTGCTCCCTCCGCTCCTTTGTCTCATTAGCTGTGTGGCTGCTGGCAAGTTGCTCTTCTCTGAGTTCTCGCTGCTGCATGCTCCAGCAAGCTGTGAGATCTAATGAGAAATGCATAGGTGAGAAAATGTCACCATGTGCTCTAGCTACAGCCACACCAGCTCCTGCCTCCCTGTGACTCCCTCCCAGGGCTCCACCTCTACGTTAGGACCCACAGACAGCTGAGCTTTACAGAGTGAAGGCTTCCTACATCAGGACCAAGCTTCACGCTGAGGTCCAGTCCCAGGGTGAATTTGAGAGCCATGAGGGGTCCAGGAAGGAGAAGACAGCTATCTCTGCCAGCCAGAGACTCTGCGGTTGTAGCCTTTGACTATGAGTGGGGGCTTCTGTGATCAGGGTGTGGAACTAGAAGAGAGTCTGCGCCTAGGTGAGATAGCCTGGGCTCCATGATAAGCTAGCCATACTATCAAGGTACGGGCCTAGCATCTGCTTATCATGCCTGCAGGGCCAGAGCAGGACCTGGAGCCACTTTCCCCACCCAAGTCTGTCTTCTCTGCTGCCTGCTCCTCCATTTCTCTGACTCCCCTTCTGGAAGCCATATAGTAACTGCTAAGTACGGAGTAGGGGATGCCATGTGAGTCCTTGGGCTGTCCCATTCTTCCATCTCTGCTTCCAGTCTGAAGCTTGGTGTCCTCCCTGAGGCTGCTGTGAACCAGTCTAGGCCACTCTCCTGACATCTGGCTCTGACCTCTGCCACCACAGCCTTATTAAACTCTTTACTCTTGTTTAGACTAAGCTAGGCATGGTGGTGCAGGCTTGTTGCTCCAGCACTCGGGAGGTGGAGGCAGGAGGATCAGAAGCTCAAGGTCATCCTCAGCAACACAGCCAGTTTGAAAGCGGAGTGGGCTAAAAGTACAAGCCAAGCATGGTGGCCTATGCCTATGTTCCAGCATTAGGAAAGCTGAATTGGCAGTCTGCCGCAAGTTCAAAGTCAGAGTGGGATACATAGCTATTTCTAGACCAACCATGACTGTATAACAAGACCCTGTCCAAAAACCATCACAACCGAAGTCCTTAGATTATGGTCTGGGGTATAGCTGAGTGATGGAGTATAGTAGTGTGTATGTGCCAGGCCTAAAGTACTATCTGTTGCATCCAAAATAAACACAGCAGTTAGGCATGGTGGAACATGCCTGTTATCCTAGCACTTGCAAGGTGGAGGCAGAAGGAGCAGGAATTCCAGGCCAGCCTAGACTACATGAGACTCTCTCAAAACAACAAAAATCCAAAACCAAAATAGAGGGAATGAAACTAAACTGTCAAATCCGGGGCTGGAAAGTCTTAGCAGTTAAGAGCGTTAGCTGCTCCTGCAGAGGAGGACCCCAGTTCAGTTGCTAAC